TTTTTCCGTTGTGTGAATTTTCTGATGTTGAGTAAGGCATGACTTTTCATGGGAGGCTTTCCCACCTTTGTTACAGTCACGGATTTTCTCTCCTGTGTGAGTTCTCTCATTTTGAGTGTGGTATGACTTCTGCAAGGCTCCCTTACTTTCACTGTACTCATCAGGTTTTCCTCCTGTGTGCAGTCTCTGATGTGTAGTAAGGTTTGACTTCTTGTCACAGGATTTCCCCGATTTATTACATCCAGAGGGTTTCTCCCCTGTGGGAGTCCTCTGGTGTGCATGTTTTGACTTTATGCATGAGGATTTCCCATTTTTACTGGATTCATGTAGCTTCCTTTCCCTAAGGGTTCTCAGACAAGCATTAAACTTTAACTTTTGCACGAAGCCTCTTCTGTAGTCATTACTTTCAAAGGGGTTCTCTCCTGTGTGAGCTCTTTTATCTGTAACATAGGCTGTTCTTTTGTGAAAGGCTTTCCTACAATTATTATATTCAAGAAGTTGCTCCAAAGCTGAATTCTTCTGATGTTGAATAAAGTCATCATTATAACTGTGGGATTTCTTCTTTTGATCATTTTCACAGGGCTTGCCCCCTGTATGAGTTTTCTCATGAATAGAATCAAGGAACTCACATCCATTGAAATCATCAGACTTTTTTATTACATGGCTTCTATGACAAATAATTAATTCTGAAACACTTTTCAAGCTTGTTCCAAATGAGTCACATTTATGGGGCATTTTTCTTGAAGGCACTGGGTTTGTGGCCATATTAAATGCTTCTCCTAAGGTCTTACTTCTCTCCTTAGTCAATGGTTTGTTGTTGATGAATAAAGCTTGCCTTGAATGTTTAGCTTCATTTTCTTGGCTTCTCTCTTTCATGTTATTGACTTTCTGGACTTCTAGAAATATTAAAAATGAACATACATTATAAATCTTAAAACATTTCTTAAGGAATGGGGTTGTACCCTATGTTGAGCTGATTCTCAGGTTTTAGACACAGTCTCCTGGGATGAAAGAACTCCTAAGAAAATATTTGTTATACTCCTTTGGTTTGGTAACATGAAAACAAAGACAAAAAAAAAAACCAAAAAAGAAAAAAAAAACATCATACTGTAGTAGAAAAAGAGAAAGCTGAAAATTAATACAAGTAGCTTTGGCTTGTTACAAATATGACCTCAACACAGATAGAAAGCTTGAAATATTACAAGGAATGGTGAACTGAGAACAAAGGATATCAAGAAAACAACTAGTCCAAGGATGGGGCAAAGAGAAAGGCCACTGAGTAGGGAGACTGAAGGGTGATGAAGGGAAGTATCAGAGCAGAGATTAAGTATGGAGGCAGATTAGAGACTAGCTATCCTCCTCCCCCCCATACTTTAATTACTGTAGTAGGCTCTTTAGACTACAGTCTACACGCTGCCAATCGCTTCCATTCTGTACACCAACTCCCAACGAAACTTACGAAATGATTCATTTCCCCTGGTCTAATGGTGAGTCCTATAGTTCTGGCTCTGTCTCCCCATACAGCTGTGATACAGAAAACACAGTGTCCGAAGAGAACGTTGACATATGAGAGGACGAGCCGTGCTTGCAACAGAATCCAAGTCACCTCTCTATTCTGATTGCTGGTGCTATCGTTTGATCTAGCAGGTTAATCAAAAGTAATCTGTCCCGATTGACAGCTCTGCTTTTCCCACTTGGAGTCTGCTGGCTCACTTTACCAACCGATTGTGTCCCGTCACAATACTAATTTTTAATCCTACTTTTATATCATGTTTTCGTCTTCCAATGTCTCTTTTCTGTAGAACTCAAGCACCTGGCTATTCAACTTGGTCCTAGGGCCTTGATTAATTTTTGTCTTTAAAATGTTTGGCTACGGGTGATTATTATTATCCTCTGCTGTTCTCGTTTTATGCAACAACATCAACTGTATGCTTAAAAACCTATGACTTGGGCCGGCCGAGTGGCGCGATGGTTAAGAGCTGGCTTGGGACGCCAGAGGACCCCGGTTCGGATCCCACATATGAGGGCCAGTGACACTGCCCTCTGCAGCTAAGATGCTGAACAACAGCTCAACCTGGAGCTGGGCTGCCGTGAGTCGCCTGCGACGGCATAGGCTGCAGCCCCTGTGGTAGTGGGTTGCCATGGGCTACCGTGTGTAGCCAGCAGCCAGCGTGAGCAGCCAGCAGCCAGCCGCAGTGAGCAGCCGTCCAGAAGCCGGCGACTGATCTGCCTTGCCTGGGAAGAGTGCAATGATGGTGCCAGCTTGGGCCAGTGAAGCAACGTCCTCCACAACTAGACTGAAGAACAAAATGACAGCAACTTGTTTGTTCCCCTTCCCCCAATTCCCCAGCTCTGTTCCCATGCCCCCAATTTTCCAATAAAAATCTTTTAAAAAAACCAAAAAACTTATGACTTTTCTGTGGCAGATAAACCAGAGTCAATATGCTAGCAAGGAAAATTTGATATTGAATGTTTATACTAGTTTCTTATACTAGTTTATACTAGTTTCTTATACCTAAATTCACAGCGCATGTTCAAATGATCATCCCACAAGTCTACAATATTGTCAGCTCCTACCCTAAAACCAGGGTATTGAATTCTATATCTTCTGCATTTTCAACCACAACAACTGAGTTAGCACACATTCCATTCTTAGCTCTACTCAGAACCTAAGCATCCTTCAGGGTAATGCTACTTTCCCATTATATATAAAATAAGATCTCACGCTTTTAAGCCCCATTTGTGGTAAATATTGCAAGTAAATAGTGTCTGCACAATATGTTCTGAGGCTATTCCCTAAGCACTGGTTTACACTATGCTTTCTTTCTACTTCTACTTTTGTGATCAAGGCTGATTTCCATTTTGGGGGGGCAGTCTTTCCACCATTTTTTGTTTTGTTTCTTTTTACATTTGGTATCTCAGCTGCCTTCAACCTACAATAAATATAGAGTTGAATTTTTTTTTTTAATTTTTACTTTCCCTGTGGCCTTTGGCTAGTTTTCAGGAAAAGAAGGGACAATGCCAACTTCACATTTGCATCTGCATATTGGAACTCACTCTTTTTTTTTTTTAGCTGAGCCATCCTGCCACCTGTTGGCAGCTCAGCTCGGGCTGGGCATTGAACCGCTGTTGCTGAGAGCTCACACTCTTGAGCGAGCTCTTAACCAACTGAGACACTTGGCTGGCCCTCACTCCTTCCTTCTAGAAACACTTTGTTCACGTGGCTTATGAACACCCCTGTCTCCTTGCTCTGTGCCTACATACTGGGTGCTCCTTCTCAGTCCCTCTCGCCAGAGCCTGTGTCTTCCTGACCTCCAAATGCACTGCTTAAGGGTGTAGCCCTTGACTTCTCTTATTATCTCACTGAGAGCAGAGTTCAGTCTTTACCTGTAAAGTTTTGTCCCCCGCTAACTCTCTGCCATCATTTGCTCCTTTCTCCTCAATAAACCCTCTTTGGTCCTCCTGGCTTCCTTGCTGTCCCCTGATTACACCAAGCCCACTCCCGTCTCTGGGGCTTGGCACCTGCTGTCTCAGCTGACCCGTGGCTCACTCCGTCCCTTCATTCTAAACTCCATTCCAGTTTTGTTGTTCAAATGTTCACCTCCTCAAAGAGGCCTTCCCTAACTTCCCTTCCAAAATATCACTCCCTGTCAGTCTCTATCCCCTTCATCTGACTTTGGTTTTTCAGAATGCTGATTACTACTAGACTTAGCATGTATTTATTTGCTAACTGGATCTGTTGATAGGAGTAGAGACTTTGCTTTTGTATCCTTTGTGCTTATTACGTGACTGGTGCATGGTAGGCACTTAATAAATATTGTTGAATGAGAGAATGTAGCAATACATGCATATCCACAGAGTGTTTGGCACTGGAGGGAAGGTGAACAACGGCTATTTCTGAAGAGAGAGAAAAACAAAGAAAGGAGCATGATGAGGGAGGCAGCAACTGGATTCCACAAAAAAACAAGCAAATCTTACAAATGTTAAACAGAAAACCAAAGAATTACATATGCAAGTTAAAAAGTTTATATTTGGAGGCTAATATGTTGGTCTTTACCTGTCTTTAGTCTCGTCGAAAAGTCTTGAGCCTCTAACAGAGATTTCTGAAACACACTTCACAGATCCCAACCCCTTGCACTGGGCACTTGGGATCCAGTTTCCCCCAGTTGCCTCTGTCTGATCTCATTAACTCACCTGGGTGGCTCTGACTTGGGAGTGCTCTCTTTAAGACCCACGGTTCTTCTCCTTGCTCCAACTTGAGGATCAGCTCAGGTGTGGTAACACGGTGCCCTGTTATGAGAAATGACACGGCCCTGGCAAAGTTGCTTCGAGTTCAGGCCCTTGGAAGAGTCAGAAGGGAGGAGCTTTAGAAGCTGTCCAACCATCAAAGCAGACCCTTTCACTAGGGAGGTAAGAATGCAACATTCTTTCAAGCTCCCTAAAAGGATCTTTGAATCTACAATCTCAAGCCTACAACTGATGACACTCTACAAGGATGTGGTTCCTATGATAGGACATGCATGCTGTTGAGAGTTGCATGGGACGCTGTGCTCACCCAGGGACACCAGGTGTCCGTAGTTCTCCAGCATGACGTCCCTGTACAGGTGCCTCTGAGCAGAGTCCAGCAGCTGCCACTCCTTCGGGGTGAAGTTCACAGCTACGTCCTCAAACAACACCGACCCCTGCAATAGGCCAATCCGGCTCAATCCGAAGAGCTCAAGACCAATTACGTGGGAAATACATATGGGAAGGAATCCTACTGTGTTCACTGCTAAGAGTTGCCCAGGAAATATTACAAAGGCTGTCAATGGACCTTCCTTCACGCTGTACTGTGTGGAAGAAACCGAAATCACAACGGAAATACTCGGCCTCTATAGTTCTTTATGAAGTCCTAAAACAATCTGAGTTCCTCTGCAGGCCTAGAAAACTGTTATAGTTTTTGAAGGACACTAAGGCTATGAAGACACTGGTCCTGTTTTTAAGGAGTTTACAGACCGACGAGGAGACTTTCTATACATACACATACACATGCAATAATGGATTATGGGAGCCATGAAAAAAAGTGTGTGCAAAGTAGAGTGAGGTCACAAAGGGGGAGCAGACTTAAATCTCCTTGTTTTTGCAGGGTATGCTTCACTGAGGAGATAGATTAGAATGCATATTAACAGTGAGCTTTGTCTGAACATGGGGCAACAATATAAGCAAAGGGATAGAAACATTAAAATTGCACAGTTAAGGGAATTACAAGCAGTACTGTGTGATAGAATAAGGTTGGGGGCTTTGATGAGATAAAGAGCAATAGAGGCATTTAGTGGTCAGACATGGAGAAATTTTGTCCTGTAGGCCAGTCGCCTTCAAATATTTAGTCACCCCATGAGTAAGAATTTCTGAGTATCCCTCAGTATATTTAGTTATCAATTATATGACTCCCCAGTTATACACCAAAAGTAAAGCTTCACTTTCTTAATTTTTTTATATACAAAAGAAACATAAAAGGGCATTCTAATCCTGTCTTTACATACCATACATTACTTGATTATGCAATTCTCTGGGGTGGACACCCCTACTTTGGAGATTACTTCTGAGGACACTGGGGATCTATAAATGAGGTCCCCACAATCAGACTTATATTTTGAAAGTAATGCTCTAGAAGCAGAGTGGAGAGTGTTTGAAAGCAGTGGTTCTCAATCAGACACGATTTTGCCTGCCAGGGGGCATGTGGCAATGTCTGGGGACACTTTGGGTTGTCACAACCAAGGAAAGGGTGCTACTGGTATATAGCTGATGAATCCAGAGACGCTGCTCACTATCCCATAATGCACAGGACAGCCTCTCCAACAAAGAATTATCTGGCCCCAAATATCCATAGTGTTGAGGTTGAGAAAGCCTGTTTGCAAGGGAAGTCCGAGAGGAGGGTAATAGACTTACAGGAGATGACCATCTATTTTAATGTGGAAGCAAAAGGATTTAGAAGTGGGAGCCCATTGTCAAGGGCATTAGTCAGCAATTGGTTATGAAATGAGGGGGAAATGGAGCATTGCTGCCAGGTTATCTGCAAAAGCAGGTGGGTCGATCCGGTGCCATATTGAGACTGACAAAACAGGAGAAGGAATAGGTGGGGCAGGAGAGACAGAAACCTCGGACATGCTATGCTTAAGGCATCGGTGACACATACAGGTGGAGACGTCCAGGTGACAGTTGGATATAATATTGTGGAGCTCAGGGGAGAGCTCTAGGATCAGGACACAATTTTAGAAATCAGGAGTATTTCAGCAGTAGCTGAAGCCATCCGAAGACGGAAACTTGTTCACAAAGAACATGTGGACCAAGGACAGAACCTGAGGGACAGCAGGAGAGTGTGGCACAGGTGACCAACAAGGAACCAGAAGTTAGCAGCTGTGTCTGCAGCATCTAGAACAGTCCTGGTCCACAGCGGGGCTCGATAAGCAGCTGTCAAACAAATGAAAAAAGAGTCTCAAAAGTCACTGGTGGTGACAATTTCAAGAATAAGGGACACTCTTAACGTGGCACAATGGAGTGGGCACACACATTTATCTCCTTTACTTCCAAAACTAGAGCAGGAAGAGACACCCAAACCCTAACACGTTTATCAGAGCAGAGGAGCATTGGGAAAGAAACCGTCAGCAAGCGAGAAATGCTGAACAGTTTCTGGAAGCTATAGAATGGGAGGAGATAGTGGAAGCAGCGAGTAACAGAAGCACTGCCGCACTTCTTAAGGGGTCCCGTACCCCCTCCACAGGGGTTGCCTGAGAATTAACACTCAGGAGAATGGTCCCTATAACAAAACAGGGAATTGTTTCCAGGGGTCTGTGTGAACTTCGCAACCCAACAGAGTAGCAATGTACTGTAGTTAGTATCTTGAGATGGTCACATCTTTTCTTTTAAGGCAACGCTAAGCAAATAAACTGACATGCTCTGCCACTAGGTAAGGCATTGCCCCCTTTGGCAGGGGAAACAGGGGTCCCCTTGTGCTTTGCTCCCCTCTGCACAGCCTGAAGAGAAGCCTGTCTATACACATCTCCCAACAGTTCACGTGAGGCCCCACATCAGTCCATCCATTCAAGGGAAAAGCTTGCCCAGGAAGGAGACCTCTGCGAGCCAAGTAAACACACATCAGTTCCTATATTGATCAGATGAGGTTTTTAGCTTTCTGTTCACTCAGAAAACAGAAGAGGGCCCAGATGGAGGAGGAAAAACAACAATCTGAAAAATTAGCCTCAAGAAGAACACGCTTGAAGACTGTTAAACAAATTTAATGTCAATAAAAAGCAACAGCCCAAAAGATAAGCACCAAGAGGAATAGACAGAAGACTACGAACACAAGTTTAATTCAGCTACTGAAGAGAATAACTTTTAAGAATTCAAATTGGGGGCCGGCCGAGTGGCGAGATGGTTAAGAACTCGCTTGGGACACCAGAGGGCCCCGGTTCGGATCCCACATATGAGGGCCAGTGACATTGCCCTCTACAGCTAAGATGCTGAACAACAGCTCAACCTGGAGCTGGGCTGCCGTGAGTCGCCGGCGACGGTGTAGGCTGCAACCCCTGTGGCAGTGGGTTGCCATGGGCTACCGTGTGTAGCCAGCAGCCAGCGTGAGCGGCCAGCAGCTGCAGTGAGTGGCCGTCCAGAAGCCGGCGACTGATCTGCCTCGGCCGGGAAGAGCGCAATGATGGTGCCAACTTGGGCCAGTGAAGCAATGTCCTCCACAACTAGACTGAAGAACAAAAGGACAGCAACTTGTCTGTTCCCCTTCCCCCAATTCCCCAGCGCTGTTCCCATCCCCCAATTCCCCAATTAAAAAAATAAAAAATTAAAAAAAAAATAAAAAAAAAAAAAAAGAATTCAAATTGGTATCCCCAAATTGATGTAAGAGTCTTACTTCCATAAAATGAGACGAGTTAGCTAAGAAAAAAATGAAAAAGCCCACAGGTACTAAATATTTTGTTGCCGACTTATGAAAACAAATACACAAAACTCTCAAGAGAAGGCTTGAAAACAAAATGACTACAAAAATGAGCCAATCTCTGAACACATAGAACAAACACAGAAAAATGGAAATAAAAGGAAAGGAACAAAACACAGACAGCCGATCGGGAGAGGCACTGACAGTCTAATGGGATTTCTAGAAGACAAGAACAAAGAGGCTGGAGGGAAGGAAAAGCATCACAGAAATAAGTGAAAACATCCCAGAGCATATGAGTCTTCATCTTAATAGAAGCCATCCAATTACCAAGCAGGCAGCCTGAGAAAAGAACAAACAACCAGACGCTGCCTGGTGAAATAGCTGAAACCCAGGGATAAAGAAAAACTTGCAAGAAGGAAACATAAAACACGTTACTTACAAAAAAATTGAGAATCAAACTGCCACACGACCTCCCCAGCCTCTCGAAATGCCAGGAGATAATAGAGATGATCTTTTCTCATCATCCTCCGAAGGAAAAAGAATCTCAAAGCCAAATCCTATAACCATTCCATCACTCATGTAACGGAGCACTTTCAGAGACGCAGAGTCAGAAGGCATATGATCACAGCCATTCTGTGAAAGCCTCCAGAGGCCTCTATTAAAACTGAGAAAGAAGACATGACATATGGAATCGTGGGGGACAGATAGAAGACAGCTGAAGGACTGCTTCCTAAGAAAATCAGAGAGGGCTGCAAGTGGGTGACTTACAGACTGGGAAAGAGATGAGCACATGGGGCTAACTCAACAGGAAACTTTTTTTTAAGTTATTTATAAAGGGTAGGTAGGCAAAGTTTTATATTTTTTGACGAAGCTACATCTTGTGGAGAGCATGTCTGAGAATTCCTGAACTTTGGAAGAGGAGCTGCTACAGTGATTGAGGGTGAGGCTAGAGCAGGCCACGCCCCTTCAACAACAGGCCATCTGGAACCGGGTAATACAATCAGCCCCTGACGACACAGAAGGTCTGGCCCTCTGGACGAGCCAGGACTGCCAGTCCTGTCCTAATGGTCAGCACAGGGTAACTCAAACCCTCTTTCTACCTAAGTAGGGTTGCCAGATTTAGTAAATAAAAAATACAGGGCACCCAGTTAAGTTTGAACTTCAGATAAACGAGTACGTTTTTAGAATAAGTATGTCCCATGTAAAATATACTTTTGTCTTACATGCCCTGTGTCTTATCTGGCAACCCTATGCCCAAAAGGTCTCCCATTCCAAGTTCTTGGGCAAGTTGGAACACCGCAGATGATAACTTACAATCAACAATGGGTGGACTTGAACTTGAGGTCTCCCGTTGGGACAGGGGGCAGTATAGACGAAATAAAATGGTCCCTATGTTGAAAACGGCTGAAGCTGTGACAAGTATACGGGAGTCATTACATCCAGGTAAAGAATTCAACAAGTGACTGGAACGTTGAAGCAGCTGGAAATTGTCGGTATATTATAACTGAACTATTATTATTATTTTATCACTTTATCTTCAAATTTGGGACAGCAAAAATAACAAGAAAATGTATGTTGAAATTTAAATAGTTATTGTCCAAGTAGCTAGACAGTGTGATGCAGTTGTTAACAAAGAAGTCCTGAAATAATGTTTATTATATAAAAAGAAAGGAAAAAGAAAAGCGTTAGATGATTTCCACAAAAACTGAGATGAGGGAGCAGTATATCTTATTTAGGTGGTACGATCAAAACCATTCCTGATGCTGACAGAAAAACGTTTTCATCTGTGTTAAACACATCAAAGGTAACCAATAACAGAGTAAAAAGAAAACGTAGACCTTCGCAACCACTGGAAGAGGGGGAAAGGCAAGTAAAATAATAATGCAGGAAAAAAATCAGGAAATGAAAAAAAAAATGAAGAAAAACAATTGACAAGAAAGCACAGTTACTAAAAATGCAAAAGAATGCTTAGGTTTCACTGAAAAACATTGGTAATAAGTAAACAACTCACCCGGGATATGTTCATTTTCTCCTGCTCCTGGAAAAGGATAGAGAACTGTGAAGGCAGAGCTGGAGAAAGGAAAAGAGCAAAGACATGGTGAGAACTACATCTTCTAGAAGGTCCTCAGAGCACTTGCCTAGAAAGCCATACCTATTAGCTGACAAATGGCGGCACAGTGGGAGACTCTGACCCTTAGAAAGGGCAGGAATGTGAGGGGATGCTTGTAACCTTAGTATAACCATGGGGAGCTAGGAGAAGCAGGTTTTTCATTGGGGAAAGTAAATATTTTTTTTCTTATTCGTTTCTTACAATGTAGAGCCTCCTTTGAGTTAATAGCAGACAAACATAAAACAAGACAAAGTCCAACTAAGGAAGATTTGGTTAAATAAATCAGAGCATAGCAAGGACAGCAGGCCATACTTTTGATCTGTTATTAAACATGTTATATTCTGAATTTTTTTTTTAAGATTTTTTATTGGGGATATTGGGGGAGGGAACAGCATTGGGGAATCGGGGAAGGAGAACAGACCAGTTGCTGTCCTTTTGTTCTTCAGTCTAGTTGTGGAGGATGTCACTTCACTGGCCCATGTTGGTATTTTGATCATTGCGCTCTTCCCAGCTGAGGCAGATCGGTCGCTGGCCATTGGATGGCCGCTCCCTGGCCTTCCTCCCAGGCCACATCCTCATCAACTGTCCACAGGATTTCCTCTTCCCAGGAAGCCTGCCTCTTGCCCACCACTCTCAGGCGGCTCATGGCAGCTCACGCCGGCTACTGGCTGCTCAAGGTAGCGGGTAGCTTACTGCAGCCCCACTGCAGCCCCACTGCAGCTCACGCCTTCGCCGGCTACTCACCGCAGCCCAACTCCCAGTCGAGTTGTTGTTCGCTGTAGAGGGCACAGCATCACTGGCCCATGTGGGATCTGAACCAGAGGTTCCGCTGCACAGAGCTCACGCTCCCAAGCCAATTCTTAACCAACGAGCCACTCGGCCGGCCCTATATTCTGAATTTTTTTGATGTCTCAGGTTTACTTTAATCCAGTTGAGGAAGGTGGAAGTGGGAAAGTGTATATGTATGTGTGTGTATGTGTGTGTGTGTGTGTGTGTGTGTGTGTGTGTGTGTGTGTGTGTACGTTAAGGGGATGGGGGAAGCATAGATAAAATAGTCCACATGTTGAAAATTGCTGAAGCTGTGACAAATATACAGGAATCACTATATTATTTACTCCTGTATATTTTGAATATTTCCGTTAAGAAAATGTAAAAATCATGTAACAACAAAAACCTGATAGGGACTGTTAGTTTACATTTTATTTATATTTTTAACTCCTTGAGGTTAAAGAATTAATAGAAACCTCTGACAACAGGGATGGGTGTACTTTAAGGAAGTCTTTTTATTTTTATTTTTTTAAGGGATTTGTTCTCCTTTGGTTGAAGTGTTGCTAGGGACTTTTTATTAAGAAACTTGTTTTGACTTAAGTCAGACACGGTGGCCAGAACAGTGGTTCGGGAGTAGGGGGCCTTTAGTTCTGCCATTAATGATTAATATAAACCTAGATAGTAATAATCCAGGTATAACGTGAGTGATACTGACAATACTTGTATAGCGCTTACTATGTAACAGCCACTGTTCTACGAACTTTACATATATCACCTCGTTTATCCCTTAAAATAAAGCAAGATGTAGGTACTATTATTACGCCCATTTTATTGATGAAGAAATTGAGGGGAAGAAAGTTAAAAGTAATATGGTAGAGCTGGGCTTTCAACCCTGGCAGTTTGGCTCCAGAAACTTTGCACTTACCTCTATGCTGATTACTCCCTCAGGCCCCATACTGTTCACTTTTAAAACGAGGCAGGATTATATAGCCCTTCAAAACCCATCCTGCACTCCTATAAAGGCAGGAATGGGGGGCAGGTAGCCTATCCCTAAATTCCAGATGTGGTGATGGGCATGGTTTAAGGGCCGTGCAGAATCCTGGAAGAGGGACTAGAACATTAAGAGTGTGGGGAGAATTTTCCAGGAGTGGAGAATAGTGTCTCCCTGGCCTTCCTCCCAGGTCACATCCTCATCAACTGTCCATAGGATTTCCTCTTCCCAGGAAGCCTGCTTCTTGCCCACCACTCTCAGCCAAGCTAACCTCTCTCCTTTGAAAGTTGTCCCTCCACTGACCGACCATCTTGACCATCTGTGTGGTGTCGTGATGTTACTCGGGGCAGAAGGACCAGGAATTGCTTCTGAGCAAGGAAATATAGAAGCTGCCTGTTTCTCAGATCTCTGCCCTGCAGCTGTGGTGGCCTGGGTCTGGGTAGGGTGGGGATCTCCCAGGTGGGGCTCTCCCAGGTGTGCCCACCTTCTTTCCTCACACGAGCTGTGTGATCCGAGGAAACTGGACCTGGCTGGAGTGGGTAAGTTCAAATAACTGGAATCTTCTGCCCAGGTCCCAACTGTCTCTTGGAATTCACCTTCTCCTGTAACAGCAGTTTTCACAGAGTGGTCCCCAGACCAGCAGCATCTGCTCCACCTGGGGACTTGATAGGAATGCAAATTCTCAGGCTCCTCCCCAGACCCACTGAGTCAGAAACTCTGGGGGTGGGCCCAGCCAGCTGTTGGGTTTTAACAAGCCCTCCAAGTGATTCTGATGCATGATCAAGAACCCCCACCAGAAGCTCTGGATCGGGAGTCTGTAAACTGCTGAGGGCACAAGGCAGATGGACAATGAAGGAAAAGTCTAGAAGCCTCAATTCTGCAGTAACCCGAGGGTTCTGAACAGATACCAAGAAATCTCCAAGAGCCTGGAAGGAAGACAGTCCTTGCACACTTCAGGTTCTTCCTTGTGGCTCTGAGGGATGTGCCGTTCTGCTAAGAGCTGGACAAACCCTGCATCGGGCTTGGGAATGAACCTGTGCGAGGTCTGCATCCAGCTCCTTCAATTACTGGCTGTGAGGCTTCCCCTCCGGAATTTTGATTAAAATGGGACTGTTAATACCGACGTCACAGGGGGTCTTGGAGAACAAATATACTTAATGAAAAGAACGGTGACAAAGGCAATGAATATTTCCCAGGTGCGAAGTGAACGTCAGAAGCTGTGCTGAGTGCTTTCACAGGTGCTCTGTATCCCATCCTCGGAACAACCTTGAGACAGGTTTTAGGAATAACTTCAATTTACGGAGGGAGAAACTGGGTCTTACCGGCTCAGCATTTTGCTCATGGAGACTCAGTGGCAGAGTGAGAACTTGAACTCATCTTAGTTAAAACTCGGATTCATAAATCATAAATACGTCAGACCCACCACCTGCCCTTTAGCCTGCAGGCATATAATAAACGTTCTAAGAATTCATTCTCATCCCCGCTGGTGTTGAGGATTGGACTCGCCAAGGAATGGTCAAGGCACATGCAAATTCGAGGAGCTTCTGGAAACAGTCCTTTAGCATTTGTCTTTTCTCAGCGCACTTTATTCTGACCAAAAAACCCATGCCCTTAGCCTCTTCGTGGCCCCTTGCAGCCACGCTACTCTGTCACTGGGCTTTCTTTAGGGGCCAATGCACGACAAGGGCTATCGAGTCTCAGCCCGCATGGGATTTGTGCAAGTTTGTGCTTCCACCAGGTGTGGGCACCAACCTACCCCAAGCCTGGCAAAGCAACCCTTCAAACTCGGCTCTCACCTGCAGTGCACATCCTTCATGCGGGACCTCGTCACTGAACGACGCGTACCCTGGGAGGCTCCACAGTGATCTGCCGCGAGAAGCTGGAGACAAGGGGGCGGGAGAACAATGAGGAAGAACTGCACATGCGCAGAAGGAGCTGCGAAGACCACTTCCCTGGGCTCTCCTCCCGGTCATCCAGCAAATTCAATCAAATTCAGGACTCCGTTTCCCATAAGTCTCCGCTCCCCTTTCCTTAGGGGCGATCGTAAGAGTTCCTGCCTTATTTGGTGAATTGGATGATTTGTTGTCCACAATTATCCCTACTTTGGAGCCCTGGTTCCTTTTTAACCCCAGGATTAGGGATCTGAACCCCACTCCACTTACAATCAGTGTCCCTTTATGTCAACTGCACATATGAAAACATAAAAATTTACCTAAACTAAAAATTTAAACTACTAGAAAATAAAGCCCAGTAATAGAGTAAAAGGTTAATACCACCACCAGAAATTGTTTTCCCAAGCACCATCTCCACCCAAAAACAGGATTTCAAAAGTAATACATTGAAACTGTAGATAAAATGGCAAATACACATAAATCACAGAAAGACTTGATCAAAGGCGAGCACTCATAATTTCCTCTCCCAGAAATGACCATGTGAGGTGATACTTTAATTAAAATAGTACCTTAAAAGTTCAATGTGTTACTTTTATCTTTTCCTTAAACATGTAGTTAATAATTTTCTTACTCTCTTTACATTTTCATTTTGAAAATTTTCAAACTTACAGAAAAGTTGCATGAATGATTCATTCTGAATGAACACCTATAAGCTGTGTTCTTAAATCCACCAATTGTTAATATTTTACCACTTTTGCCTTCTCTCCATTTCTCTCCTCTCTTCTCCCTTCTCTCTCTCTCATCTTCCTCACCATCGGACAGTAAGTTGCAAACATGAACCGTCACCCCTAAAACTAGCATATATTTCCTAAGAACAAGGGCATTCTTTTATGTAACCACTACATAATTATCAAATTCAAGAAATTGAACACTGATATATTATCAAATATGTAGACTATATTCAAATTTCACCTATTTCACAATAAGATCCTTTATAACTTTTTTTCTTCCTCATCCAGGATCCAATTCATTCATTACATCCAGCTGTCGTATCATTTAGACTCCTTTACTCTAGTGCCTCAGCCTTTCTCTGTCTTTTAGGACATTGGTAATTTTGAAGAGGATGGGCTAGTTATTTTAAAGAATATTATTCATACTTCAATTCGTGTTTGTCTGATTGTTTTCTCACAATTAGATTCAGGTCACACAATTCTTGGCATAACATACTGATGTCATGTTCATCTCAGTAAATCACGCCAGATCAGTTTCATACACATGATGCCCTTTTTGGTCATACTAACTTTGATCCTATGATTAAGATAATGTGCAGGTCAATATACTTTTACATCAATTGTTTTTCTTATGCCAATGATAGAAGTAAGAAATAACCTCCATTCACAGTAGCATTCAGTATCTAGGACTAGGTTAACAAGAATTGGGCAGAACTTACACAAAAGAAACTGTCACACTCTACTGTGTGATATTATAGATGTGAATGAAGACATGTATTGTTTTCCTAGATGGGACGACTTAATTTCTTTAACAAAATTTCAATCAAAATCTCAATTTCAGTGATGTGGTTTCTTTACTTTTTCTTTTATTTCATTTTACTTAACAGAACACATCCAAATTTCATCTAGAAGAAGAAAAACCCTAAGATAACAGCCAGGACTTAAAAAACAATCAAGAGTATTTCCTACAAAACATGAATATGTATAATATTAATATAATATTCAAAAGGTGCCTCTGGCTCCTTAGAAGAACAGGTACAAACCCAAGAGTTCATGAGAGTTTAGAGTATGATGAAGGGGGAATTTCCAAGTTGGGGGAGGGAAGGGGCAGTCAGGAAATCACATTAGGAAACTAGAGGCAATGGGGGAGAGTGGGAAGATTATTTTTCTTGCTCATACACGTTATACCACAAATTTCATACAGACTCTTGATTTAGCATTTTAACAGTAAACCACCAAGTACCTAGAGAGAACATAAACTAAGTTTCTCATTTAATCTCTGCATAAGGATGGCAAGCTTTAAGATCATTTAAAAAAAATGATTACTGAATTTTACTCTAGAAAAATTTAAAACCTTACTTTCAGACAAAAAAAAATCAAATAAAAAAACACTTGGAAAATATATTTGTTAAGTATATAAAAGAAATGGTTTATTGGCTTCATTTAATTATGTCTTACACATTTATAAGAAGATCACACTACCATAAAAATGATCTATGAAAATGAAGGGGAAAGTAACAAAAGAAAAAAATGCAAATGAGGAATAAATATGTGAAAGCAGCCCATAAACTATGAATAAAAAAATGCAAATGTTTTTTGGCCTTTACCATTGGCAAAGATTATAAAGAAAAATGATATCCAGGGTGGGCATAAGTTTAGGGAAATGTTCATACTCATAAATTTGTATTTGGAATGTAATTTACAAAACAATTTGGAGGCCACTCTGTACCAAGTCGTAAAAAAACATGCATTTTAATGTAGCAATTCTATTACTAGAAATATGACCTAAGGAAACAGTTGTCCAAGGATACACGTACGCATATAAGTACATTTCTTACAGTTTATAATAACAGCAACACATTGTCAAAAATCTCAATGTACAAAAAAAAAAAGAAGAAAAAGAAAAGAAAATCCACAAGGTAGGGTATTAGGTAACCATTAAAAATTATAATGCAGAGGTATATTAATTGACATGGGGGAAGATTACAATATATTGTCATACAAAATGTTTTTTATACAAGAACATAAGGCATTAATTTATTGTTTGTAAAAAGCATATATGTCTCTTAAGGGTATAAAAACAAACGAGCAAGCCAAATGCAAGAACAAAATCAAACCAAAAAAAATTAAAATCACTTTCATACATAACAATGGAGAAGTCTATGTGAAGATTTTGTTTATAAAGGCCTGGAAGAATTCAAAACCTGCATCATTCAACACCGATATCCCCATAGTATTAGACATAAAATAGGAAAGATACATTCTCAGGGAGCATACATTTTTATCTATTGTGGAATATACCTGCCCTCACGCTGCCTTTTTAATTTTCTTTTTATTTTATTTTATTTTTTTTTATTGGGGAATTGGGGGGATGGGAACAGTGCTGGGGAATTGGGGGAAGGGGAACAGACAAGTTGCTGTCGTTTTGTTCGTTGTTGTTCTTCAGTCTAGTTGTGGAGGATGTTGCTTCACTGGCCCAAGTTGGCACCATCATTGCGCTCTTCCCGGGCGAGGCAGATCAGTCGCCGGCTTCTGGACGGCCGCTCACTGCGGCTGCTGGCCGCTCACGCTGGCTGCTGGCTACACACGGTAGCCCATGGCAACCCACTGCCACAGGGGCTGCAGCCTACGCCGTCGCCGGCGACTCACGGCAGCCCAGCTCCAGGTTGAGCTGTTGTTCAGCATCTTAGCTGTGGAGGGCAGTGTCACTGGCCCTCAGATGTGGGATCCGAACCAGGGCCCTCTGGCATCCCAAGCCAGTTCTTAACCATCGCGCCACTTGGCCGGCCCTGCCTTTTTAATTTTCTTGGTGTTAGCCCTGATGCTGTATTGCGTGTTCTCCACTAAATTAACAGAATAGTGCATCGTGGTATTTATTTAAATGTCTTTGTAGTATCTTATAACATCTAAATTCCGCTACAAAATAATTGGTCTTCATGAATTTTTAAGCCCCCTAAGAGCACAGCCATTTAATGAACATTTGGATGAGACTGGTACAGTAATTAAAATATTTAAAATTGTAATAACAGTGAATGTTAAAATAACTGTTAAGTTACAAAATCATTCAAGATATTCTAAAGCATTAGTAACAGTGTGCTTATCCAAAAACACTTTTTCCAAGACCAGCTTTTCAAACACCCTACAGTAAAGTTTATTTCCCTGTAGAACCTATCCCTTACCCATCCCCCTTTGCCCTGGCTGACCTCTCGCCTGTCACAGTTTGTCCACAGCTGCTACTGTCATACAGTATTTGATGGCCCATGGATGTGGTGATATTCTTCTGGCTTTGCTCACTGTAAATAGGAGAAAGGAACTGCTTCAGACCCAGCTATCGAGGACCTAGTTATTCTAGGGGGGTTCTTTAATTCTGTCCTATAAGGTCTCAGGTTAGAGCGGGTGCTTTCCAAGGTACTTCTAGAACCATCTCCTTCCTCCTCTTGAGCTCGTGTTTCTGTGGATCTTGAACTTGAACCTGGGAGCCAAATGAACTTGATCTAGAGCCTCTAAACATCAGACTGGGCTATAAACTCTAAACAGCTGCTGAGGACAGAGGCCAGCTAGAGCAGTTAGGAGAGGCTCAGAATCCTCACTGCAGGACCCTGTGAAATGCAATCAACACATAGTAAGATTAATTCAATATTTTCTCCACAATTATTTGGCATGGGGATTACATTGACGTTAAGAATAAAATGACGCAGACATTTTCTTTATCTTAGGCGTAAAACTGTATTAAAAAGATAATAAAATTTGGAGTAAATATGTTTGAATCTCAGCAACTTCATCCACTAGCTATGTGACCTTCACTTCACCTCTATCAGCCTTAGTTGTATGTATTTACTAAAATAAGGATGTAAGCCTGAACCTCATGCCTTGTGAGGGCTGAGATAATCTAAGTAAAGAGGCTTGTAATAACCATACTAACATTGACTGGATGCCTGTGGTCCTATTACGTACTAGGCAATGTGCACAGAATCACCTGGGAACTTGCTGAAATGCAGGTTTTTATTCAGCTGTTGTGGGTGGGGCCCAAGAATCTGCATTTCTAGCAATCTCCAGTGATGCCCATGCTGCTGCTGGTCCCTCACGTTTTGAGCAGCGAGGTGCCAAAGGTTTTTCTTCTTGCCATTTAATCCTTAAAACAACACCTTCATTTTTTGAAAGAGGAAACTAAAAATTACACAGATTAAATAACTCATTCAAGGTCAGATCTGGGATTTGAAGACTAGCATGTTTGGTTCCATGAATCATACAAGCAA